CAAAACATCGTGGAAGAGTCATGATTAGGAAGCTGACATACCATGGCTGGAGGTATGGCTGATTTGGCTGGGGGCACCGGGGGTGGAGGAATGTTTGGTTTTACAATGGGCTGAAATGAAAGCAAATGGGAACTTTTTTTAGTTACCTTTGCACACAGTAGTCAAAACACATTTAAAAAGTGCTTTAAAATGACAGGCAAAAACACCTGATGGAGAACACATTTCCTGTTATGCTTAAAGTTTGAGTCATCTGTCTGCAACAAAAATTAACACTTGTTCCCTTTCTTCTTAAAACGTGCAGTTGTATGAATTGGAAATTCTCAGCACTTTCACGAAGCAATAATTTCCATGATTCATTTGAGGAAAGCTCTAACAGAAAATTCAGGTAGAAATCCACAATCTGGATTTCATAGAATATCATAGAATTGGATATCATAGAATCATAGAATGTATGAATGGGCTTGGTCCATTCATTCTTTGGCCATCTAGTCCAACTCCATGTGCAGTGCAAGGATGCACTAAATCATCCCTGAGCAGTGGCTAAATAACCCCTAGTTGAAAAACTTCCATAATGGGGAGTCCAATCACTGTTCTAGTCAGATTCTTCCACTGCTTAACAGGTCTCACCTTCAGGAAATTCCTCCTAATATTCACCCTCACCTTTCCCTCTTTTATTATCAACTCCTTAGTGCTTCTTCTCTTCTCTTTTTCAACAGAGAACAGGCCCATTCTGTCTTGCATATGACAGCCCTTTAGATATTTGTCAGTCCCCGTCAATGTCTGGCACTAAGTTCCTTAAATTCTGTCACAAACTAAAGCCCCCCACATTCCCAGTCCCTTCCACTTCTCCTAGGACATAGTTTCCAGGCCTGTCATCCTGGGAGTTGTCCTACAAGAATGCTCTGTGTTGGAGTCGCAAGAGCATGTGCGCTGAGGTAGGAGAGTGTCAGCCCACCTGCTATATAGAAGCACCAGTGGGAGCTCAGTGTGCCTTGCTCAAACTAGAGGAAGTGAGAGTATGTAAGAAGCTTGCTGCTTCTCAGGAACCTGTATCTAGTAGGATTCTAGAGCTCTGTAGAGATCATAGGGAATGGCCTTGAAGGACAGGAGGAAAAGCTGCTAGTGAGGCAACAGTCAGAGAAGCCTGTGCCAAGAAAATAACTCAAGAAAATGTCTCAGACAAGCTCCTCCTTAATTCAGATGGGCATAAAACGAGGGAGGGGAAGCGCACTCAGACTCACAAGATCCTCTTACGATAGCTGTTACAATAAAAGTAGTCCTGACCTACATGGCACTGGTTTCTTAGACTGGTCTATCTTGTTAGCCTGACAGGCTCTGAGAGAGTGATCTGACTTCAGACTGGTCTTCACTATCACTCAATCTTCACAGCACTCTCCACAGTCTTTCTAAAGTGTGGTGCCCAAAACTGAACATAGTATTTCAAGCATAATTTGACCAGCCAGAGTTCAACGAAGCATGACATCCCATGATCTGGGCACAATGCTTCTCTTAATTCAGCCCATGATCGCCTTAGCCATGTTAGCATGCCATGTTGTCCTATTTTATTTACCCTCAGCAGTGCTGTGACAGAAACTGCTCAAGGGATCCATTATCTGCCATGAAATCAGCAATTTGCCACCTAAATGCCATCAAGATGGGTACATCGATTTGGGTATTGATATACTTCACCCATTGTGCTTGACTTTTCATTGGCAATTTTGTTGAAATCTGTCTAAATCAGAATATTGATTTAATCCACTCCAATAATTTGTATCTCTAAATGATTTGCTAGCAGTTTATGAAATAATCATACCTCTGCTGGAAATACATTGTGGAAAATGCTACATTAATGGACAGCTTCACACATCCAATGCAGTTTCTTCAATCTACCTAGATAGGCTTTCTATAGTCATGTTTGGGAAATTTAAGCATAGACGAAGAACAGTTGATTTCCTTGACCTCAGAAATACTAATTCCATATTATCTTCACTTTTCTATAGGCTATACAAAATGAGATATCACATTGTTAAATGTATTTATTTTGTTTGTTGAAGGCAGCTTTAGAGTCATAAGCAAGAATTATTCCATTTAATTCTACTTACAACACAGACTGGTCGTTTATTTGCCTGGGATGAAGGTGGGGGTAGGATAAATCTTGAAGAATTCATCTGAAAGGAGGAAACAGCAGAATGTTTGAATATATCTAAAAAAATTTTAAAGCCAAGAACTTCAAAGACTTAGCCA